TTCACTGAGAGGGTAATCATTCAGTGGAACAGGCCTCCTAGGGAAGTGATCATGGAACCAAGTTCCAAGAAGCAGTTCGACAATGTAAATATTTATTAATAACAATCATAATATGAAAATAGAAGTGATTTTCACAATGATCCTACATGATGTAAGATTTGTACTGGGTACAAGGAACTGCAAGTATGAAACTTCTTATAGGAGTGAGGACTAGAACTCAACTATACTGGTGATTTTTTCTTACCCCCTTAAAATGAAGTACATTAATTTTATTCTGTTAGCATCAATGAGTTTTCATGTGGAATGGGATATGATAGTTTCAATGAACTTTTTCTTAATTGGACAATATTTGAGTTTTAATCTCTGCATAACATTTACATAACAACATAACCTCACAAGTCAATTCTTATCATCATCCATGAACATGTTCCATAACATTGTCATGACACCCTATCGAGTTAAGAAATGCCGAGCATTAACCAAACATAAGTGGTTAAACTAGCAAATACAAGCTATATGACTGAAAATAGCTTTTTATAAACTTTATTACAAAAGCCCCCCAAAATCTTGGTAAATATGGGGTTTAGGAGATTAAAACCCTTTGCTGTTAACACATACAAAGATTAGAGTTCATTTCCATTTTAAATAGTTACTGACATGCATACCAAGTGGGGTAGATATGTAGGACAAGATCCCGGGGTTTGGGATTACAGGGATCTAACAGCAGTCAATCCAAAGCAATGACAGCATGTGATAGAGGCAGGAGGTCCACTTATAAATACCTTTGTTGTGAGCCATGATGAATCTGAAAGCATTGTTTCTAATGCACAATGATCTTGTTTCTGGGTGTTTTTTTTGTGATTTGTGAGGTTTTTTTTATGGGTATTCATCTCACTTGCAATGACTCAGTTCTGCAGTAATTTTATTTTTACTGTTTCAACATATGATTTTTTTTCTTCTGTAGAGGAAATAGCTTAAAGCTGTAAATGAAAATAAGGATGAAAAGTGCAAATATTTAAAAGTTTTGAAACAGGAGTCTTCTTACTTGGCTAAAATATTACAAAAAAACCCCACAAAAATTTGCAGGAAAAATAATCAGGCTTCTTTTATCTACGTAATGTATAACTTTCTATATCATCATGTTTAGATCTGGTTTTTTGTCGACATAAAGCATGACTATGTAAAGATTTTCACTTTAACTTGTTATTTTTAATTATTGCAAAGTGCATCCTTAGTTTTCAATTTTGTAACTGCTAAATTTTAAATTATATACCAGCTGTTAATTTGTTTATATATAATTTATTAAAAATGATAAATTATATGTTCCTAAATATTCTTTATACATATTCCTATTATATATCCCTAAATATTTCTATGCAAAGTTATTTTAAATTGCCTGTCACCGGATTATGACAAGAATCTATTTTATTGCAAGAATGCATTTCAGACTATGTTAATATCTTTTATATAGTTTCCTTACTCTCTCCACTATTTTTTCCTGAAGTATTTTGTATTGAATGACTTAAACCCCCTTCAAATCAATAGAATTGTTTTCATCCAGTAGATTCATGGATTTCTATTTTCTGAGCATGTGAGTTGTCCCTTTCATTTTGGTCATGCAACCACTTACAAACATAAATAGCAACTTCATAAGTCTTACTGAAATATAAATAAAAATAAGTAATATTTTGGAACTAGCATTAAAATAAGAAAGCGATTCTATATGTTGTAAATTATTAAAGTAAAAATGATCTCATATTTCGGTACCTTTTCACGTTTCCAGTGCTACTTTTCACTGAAACAAAATAACAAGATGAATAAAACCCAAAAGTCATTAATAATCTGCCACCATTTCCTTCTGGTTCAAAATTGTAACTAAATAATTCAGATAGACTTGTACTACTGATGAGCTGTCTGTTTTAACCTCACTGCACTAAGGAATATCCTTTGTCTGAAATAGGCAGCATTATGCCTAATCCCCATGCTTTTTCTAGGGCCAGATAGCCTTTGTGTGCAGCTGACACACAGATACGTGTTTTCATGGCAAACTCAGGATATGTGCCAAATCATTCTGGCCAATTTATCCCGGCAGTAAGTTTTAGCTGTTTACCCTCCCCCACCAAGAGATTTTCCAATTCAGGGGTATTTTTTAGGAATAAATTTCAAGCGGGTAGAAATGTAAGTGGAATCATCAATTTCTGTTGGTGAAGTGAAATAATTTCTTGAAGAACAAATCCTAACATATTTGCTAAACTCTAGGGAAGAATCAGTTAAACATTCCATTGTGGCTTGATATTCTTAAAGGCAATAACTATTTCCTAAAATCTTACTGTGCTGAAAATTAATTTATAATCTACTGGCATATGTGTTTTGATATAGTAAGCATTTTAAAAGTATTTTCAAAGATCTCTAGATCTCTACTACGAACTATTATTATTTCAATAATATTACTTTTCTTACCTTTCCATTGGCAAAAATTCTACAATTATGATAGTATTATACTTATAAAAGTTACTTTTGCTGGAAGAGTTTATTATTTGGAAAATTGATTATGAATTAAACAGGAAAAAATGAGGTTCCTTGGTGGTTAACAGTAGGAGAGTTTCCTGGTATATTCCTAGACAACTAGGATATAGTTGTCTTTAATGATCTCAGGTAGGACACATTTTATCAGTGAGCAAAATGATCAGAGCAACTCAAATTTTGCTACATAATTTAATATAAATCATGATTACCACAGAAAAATCAGTACCTTTGTCTTTATTGTCTTTTTCTTATTTTTCCTTTGTCCATTGTGCAACATGTTTACTTTTCCTCTTTGTACTCCTTTTCCAGAAAGATTTCTGATCTTCTCCACTGAAATAACTCTTGTTTGTGAGCTGTACTATAGCAAAATTCCAAAAAAATCCTGATTAAGGTCCTATATTGTAAGACTACATTATTCTAGGAAGGGAATCAGGCTTGACAAAAGAATCAAAGAAACTAATTTTTATGGTAATGTCTCTTTTTTCCATACTTCATTTATTTTAAAGTGCCAGAATTTCAAACCAATAAGATATTTGGTGGTGGGTGAGCAAAATGACACATAAAATAGTAATATTATTAGAGCAATTATAATAACAGTGATTGGAAACAGGTATGCCGATTCCTTGAAAAATACCCTTTTGACCATACCGTTAAAGGAAAACAGTCAGAAGCATCTGGAGTGATAGCTGGCTGAATTCAGTTTGTAGAAGAGATGCTTCACCAATGTCCTTTTGTCAGATAGTGACAAGAGGTACACAATCAGCAACACTGTAAACTGATGAAGCTACACGAGGAGATGCTTCTATATTGATGTTACATTGTTTCATTACAGTGAATTTACGCCTCGATTGTACCCATTTTAAACTCTGAATATCTATTTCTCTAGTAAAAACAGAATAACACACACAAATTCCAAAAAGTCTCCCCCCCAAAAAGGAGAAAAAGCAAAACAAACAAAACCAATGACCCAAAGAAAACAGAAGATACTACTATTTTTGGAAGGCAGTTGAAATCAAGTCTTCATTTTCTTTCATTCCGAGAAAGAAAAGGTCTTTAAATTACTGTGCAGAAAGATCACCATGGAGATGACTTTTTGGGGTAAGTGTTCAGCCACTAGAGTTTCAGATATCCAGATCCACACAGTCAATTCCCTGTGAGGGATGAAAAATTATCCTGTCCTGAGGCTAACTTGTTTTTTTATGCTGAGATCTGGATACATCCTTAGGTAACCCCTTGTAAATCTGACCTACAGATTCAGCAATAAAGAACTGGGATCAATTCAGTTCAGTATTCATGAAGAAAAGTAAAAAAGATACTGTAAATTTTAATGAACTTTGTGGGAATAGGAGACAGGTGAGCCCTCTGCTGAGAGAGCAGAAATGGACACTGATTTCCTACAAACACTTTCACCTTCAATCACCAGAAAAAGAATTTTGGCCAACATATTCATGTTATGGCAAATAGTATGGTCAAATTATTACTGATTTTAAGTTGTCATCCTCAGTTTCCTGGAAAAAGAAAGCTACTACACAGCAACGGTCTACAATATGAAGAGGTTTAGCAGTTGTCTATGCTCTTCAGTGATGAGTACAACTATTAACACTTGGCTTTCAGCTAGGCAATGCATATAATATAGGTGCAGATAATAAAAGTAATACAAATTTGGGAAAACAGATAATTAGGTCACTTTCTGCCTAATATGTGTTTAGCTTTTTTCCCCAAACCCTGGGTTTGATTTTCCTCAGATTGATATTGCTGGAATCTTGGAGAAGTTTCACTGAAAATTAAAACATTTACTGGTGAACAAATTCCGCAGTATTTAAACAAGCAACAATTAGATAACTTAATAAATGATAATACCAGTTTAATTGATAGATTGTCGGAGGAAAGAAGTTTCATAAACAGGAGATGGAAATTAAAAACTCTTTCGAGTTCATCACTAACTGTAATTTCAGTGAAGCCAAAGTTTACTAGGAATCACAGCAATCATTCAGTAACGAAAAACTGGCAATTGTAGTAGCACCATTTTGGACAAAGACAGAATCTATTTTCTTTTACCTAGCCAGGATGTTTAAGAGGTATCATTTTTTAATCAAATGATTATTGGGCTTTATCATATAAGGGGAAAATTGAAGTGTTCATTCTGTTGGCCAGAAGAGAACTATACATCACCTCCATAAGAAACAGGAGATTGGGTCTTGTTCCACAAAGCGGACTTTATAAGATTACTAGAACTCCAGCTCAATTATTACGCAGATTTCTATTTGTTAATATATATGCTTAATTGCTTTAGTTTATCTTTCTTCCTAACCCTTTTATTTCTAAGCATAGCTCTTATGTCTGTGGGAGAGATTAATTTGAATGCTACCATCCGCACCTCCACCAGTCGAGGGTAATTTTAGAAATAAAGCTGTTAAATTGAATTTGTACTCTATGTCATCACTGAACATACTCTTACTGAAGTTATAGAATACCTCATCTGGTAGGACATGATTGAAGGAATCAAGATCCCACAGCTGCTTGAAAAGCATCTGGTCAGATATGCCAATCTGCTGGCTGGAAACAGAAAAGATGAACAATAGATTACAGATTTGGAAATAGAGGAAAACTCAGACCTTTTAATATTTTTCCATTGGTACTTTCTGCGTAGATATTACAACAGAGTGGGGGCAAGGTTGCATTACAGGCCTCCACAACTATTTTTGCTTGTGCTTCAGACCATAAACAATGCAGGACAGTTGCCTGCATTTTGCTAAAAGCTGTTTCTTTCATTGCCCCCACCCATAACAAAGACCCAATTTGCTTTAAACTCCCCGTGACCTCTGCCACTAGAGGGCTGCACTTTGTGTGATATTCCCCCCTAGACCTCCAGTATCACTGCTCCAAGCAGTCAGATAAGGAGAAAAAAAGTGTATTCTGAAGCATACCTGTAATAATTAACAGTTTTCTTAATATTAAATCAATATTTGTTGAAATGTTAATTACATGCAGCTATTTGTTTAGTTAAGTAGAACTGTTACTGAGACCCTAGCTGAGAGGCTAGTTATATAGTCTTAGCTAACTTCTTCAAAGATGAGCCTGTCTATTAAACTATAAAATACCTACATAAAGTACCAGAAAACTTAAAAAAGCTTGTCTAAGTGGGATGGGAGATAAAGTAGAGGGGAATTATCAAACAAAAGGCATTCTGTAGAGACTAGGGGAGGCACTTGTGAAACAGCTGTTAGTAAAGAAACAGGCTAAGGCAGGACAGACATCTGCTGAGTCTGAGGAAATTAGGTTTCAGGATTACTATTTTTTCCTCTAAGCTTATGGAAGCTAGATACACAAACAACATACACGCTGCTTATCATGTTAAAACCTTTTTTTATTCTACACTTTAATATTCCTGCTGTTAGCATGAAACAATACTTTTGTTTGAAGAATGCAATCAAGTAAATGTTTTATAAGCTAATTGGAGATCCCAAAGGGAGGACTTGCAGGTGCTGAATCCAATCAGAACTGTCACATAATTAAAATTGGTGCAGGGGGCACAGTAAAACAGATGTGGTCTAAAAACCAGAGAATTGTTTGATTCAATGTTGCTTCAGATGAATGGGACATATTCAGTGACATAAAGAGAGCAGTGTTATAATTTATCCAGTTCCACTGCGGAAATTGACTCAAGATGGCTTAATTCAAACATTGTGGGTTTTTATTTTTGCCTTCAAAATTTTCTGTAAGTCATTTGCTTAGTACACAAGTAAAAAGAGGCCTCTTAGGACTGATGATCCTACAAACTGGACCTGAGATTTACAAGTTATGTAGTGCTCTTTCTGACTCAAATACTAATAAAATTCTTCACCTAGAACTCAGTAAAGAAAATGCAAGAGCTAGAACCAGTCCCCAGTTTGCTGTACCGTAATTGTGTCAGCAACTGTCAAGGTAACAGAAGCCTAAAATTCTATTTCAGTCAGTAAACTAAGCAATTATGAGTCAGAGTATCTTAGATACAAAGGGTACATGATGAGTAAGAAGGTTCCCTATTTATACAATCATTTTTCTGACCATATATGCTATCAAATTGTTACTGAATCGGCTGCATCTATTTCATCTGCTGGTGAGGAAGGTGGATATCACATTCCTGAGACACAATTCCCAAAGAATTCATTGAAAGTTTCCCATGTACAGTGCTTGATTGAGTTCTTAATTTGTGAACACATTTGGGCAGGAGCCTGTTTAGATGTTAACATGTGCACAGCTTAATATCCTATAATGAATTACATACCTGGCTTGTAATTTTTAAGCAGAGGTAATGAGCAATACGATATATTATACACGAAAGCTGCATTTTAAGTACTAAAAATTGTTTGGGGCAGTATTAATGGTAAGTGATTACTAAAACTAAGGCTGTCTCCCAGGGAGCTCAGAATGGAAATTGGATTTCATCCGCGAACAGCCAGGTTTTCAGCTCGCGCATTAGGAGGAATCGAGTCAGCAGCCACGCTGCACACACACGTAGCAATACGAATTTAGCACAGAGCATGGTGTAACGCAATAAACACTTGTGCCTAAATTTTGTACAGAATTGACGCTCCACAGTTACGGCGGTTTGAAAAATTTCTTCAAAGGCAACGAGTCAATAAACAGCAAAGAGTAAAATAGTAAAAATGCTTTTCTGGTGCGCAGACAATCCCCCGAGCGCTGCCTCCCCCTTCCCCCACATCTTAAAACGTTTTAAGCTTCCACCTGAATAATTTCAGATTTGTAGGCAGAAATAACCTTCACCGCAGCAAAACATCTTTGATTTCTCTACGAAATACTTAGGTGAGAAACGCGGCTCTGTGTCGCACAGCTCCAGCTAGACCGGCTGTCACAGCATAACAATAATATCTTTATTATTTCCTCTACAAGCCTGCGCGATGCAGCCCGGCGCGTCGGAGGCTCCCGGCGCGGAGCGGCAGCGCTGTCCCCCACCCGTCCCCCGCGGCGGCCGGCGGGGATGGACGGGCGAACGGATGGACGGAGTGCTGCAGCCACACCGGCCGTGTCGCGTCGCGCAAGTGGTGCAGTCAGCCCCGGCGAGGACGTGTCACCGCTATCCCACCGCCTCCACGAGCAATCTCGGCCGTCCTCCCACGCAGCTGCGGGCCGCGAGGCGCAGCGTGTAACCCAGGTGACGCCGCATCACGGCGGGGACCCTCCCGGGGCAGGAGCCAGCCCCCACACACACCCGCCCCGCCGCCACCCCCGCCGCAGAGGTTAAAGCACCCCCGCCTCCCCACAGCGGCTCCGCCACTCGCGTCCTGGAATTGGCGATGAGCTCCAATCCCAGCCTCGCTCTCTTTTGTTCCCATTGGTCGGATCTCCCGCCTGTCTTCATAGAAAGCCCCGCCCTTCTTTTTTATCGCACACACACACACATATACACCCCCCACCCATCGCCCCCCCTTCCCTACTCGCCTGGCCTCGGACACCCCCGTCCTTCCACCCCCTCCCACGGTTCTAACCTCTCCTGCCTTTCGGGTTTCTGCGGTGTAGCAGAGGGTGGTGACCCCAACCCCCGGCCAGCCAGCCGCCCGCGGTGTTGGGGCGAGTGCGGAGCAGCACCGCACCACAGCGGCAGCGATCCCCCTCTCCACCCCCGTGTCCGACAGTGAGGGAGCGGGAGCGGCGGGCAGCTGAGCCGCAGCGTCAGGCGCGGCACTAGGGCGGGCAGGGGCGGAAGGGGGCTCAGAAACAGCGTGAATCATCTCCCACTCTCTCC